CAGGCTCTTTACTCCTTTATAAGAACATTGGAAGTAACTTGGCTGATAATATTTATATTCAAAAGACCGTCTAATATAGAAACATACTTTATTATCCCTCGGTGAGGAAATTCAGGTGAGCCATTAAGAAATGAAAGGCAACAGTAAGCATGCAGATTCATGCATTGGCAAAAAACAAAACAAACAAACAAGCAAACAAAAAGCACAAAATGGAAAAAAGTGCATATTATGTCAATTTTAAAACAAGAGAAATTGATTGCAGAGGTGATTTAATCACAGTTGGTAGCAATGATGTTATAAAAAGCAAAAACAAACAAACAAACAAAAAAATATGACTATTTAAGTGACCCATAAGTTTTCTTTTTAAATGTGGGTTGGAGCTTCCTTTTCTCGCTTCTATTCACACTCTGTGGGAGAACAATTTAGCACCTTCTGTTTGTGGCTAACGTTGCACAGTTTTATGATTCAGTAAAGATATTTAGCTCCAGTCTTTCTGCATCTAGAAATTTGTCCTCTAAAGGTAATAGAAGCTTTGAAGAGGCCCACCTTGGGACATTTCTGATTGCTGTCATCGCTTTAAAAATACATCCTCTTCTTTTGACTCCTGATCATTTGGGGAAGGTGCTTCACTCACGTCGATTTGACTTTTGTGAGAACAAGGTTTCATTTGACCTTATGTTTGCTTTTTGTGATGACTTTACTGATGCTTCAGATTATCATGGAAAAAAAAACTTTATTACAGGAAGTGAAACTTTTCAAAGCAACCATATTTTGATATATTTTATTTTCCATGACATCAGCTGTATCTTAAACAAGGAAACAAATTTGTATAGTTTTTGTTATTTTGTTGGCTTTGTAAAACAATTGCATGAACCAAATATGTATTTGTCACTGAATAAAATTTCCGTGATAAACATTCTGCTTTATAAAGATCTGTGTTGTGCTTATTTGATCATGACTCAATGACAATAATGATCATGACAATAAATGCTTTCTTCAAACTCTGTGTTGGGTGATAATGCAATGATTGTAACTATCCAGTACTGTGATTCGTACAAGGATGTGACATATCTGGCAAAGATGTAAGCAATCCCCTCATTGAAGAGTTTCAATGCTCATATGTTACCCTAGGTTATCTTGTCGGGGGTAAAACGCCCCTCACACGGTCTCCAAAGACAAACAGTCTCTGGATGACTGATCAACTAAAGAGTGGTTCAGATGCCCTTTAAGATGCTGATCAGTGGTATAGTCACAGGCATTGTTAGCATCCTTGATGGGGGGCTGGACAGTGCCCCTTCCACTCATTCCATCATTCTAATGTGGGATTTAAATGTTCCTTTTGGAAATGACTGGGATATGGTGGGGAGGAAGGGGCCTACAGCTCTGAACTCGAGTTGTGTTTCTTTATTGGACCTCGGTGCAAGTGATTTAGACATGCTGGAAGAAGTTGGACAGAAGCTGGACAGACTCAGCAGGCCCAAAGTGAGTCGTTAGGCTTTGTAGGGACTATCTGGTGGAGCCCTTGGTCGAGGAAGTATCCAACTCCCATCTCTTGGAAAACTGTCAGATTCCAGGGGAAGCTGTGGATATTTAGCCTCACTGAGCCTTATTCTCTGACAACCGCTGTGACCATAAGGTCTGCAGAGCCTCTCGTTGTAACAACCCCCAAACACAGTAGCAGACAACATCAAGCTGAAGAAGGAGTCTCAGTCAGTGAGCAGGTACCGTTAAGGCTGAGCATGTTTTTTCCTGGGAGATTATAAAGGCAAATACCAAGAGTCTGAGAGGAGTTTGGAGAAGCCATGGAGAAAGACTATCATTTGGCCTCAAAATGATTCTGGCGAACCGTCCAGCACCTCCAGAGGTCCTGTGCTATGACAGTTTTCACTATAACAAGGAGCTGCTGACCTTAACTGAGGACACTGTTGAAGTTTGTAAGGAATACTTTCAGATCAGGTGCTCAGAGTCTGACTTGTTCCTCACCCAGGCTGAAGCCACTGAGGCGCTCAAAAACTCCACAGTGCAAGGGCTTCAGGGGTGAATGAGTTCCACTCTGGGTACCTTAGGTCTTTGGATGTTGTGGTTAACATTTCTTTTAAACATTGTGATCTGATCTTTGTGTAGAGTTACGTAAGTAGTTTTAAGTAATTAGTTTCTTATTTTTCCTGCACGTTTGGTAACCATTTCTGGTTTGATTATTGGAGGATGTACATACATTTCCAGTAGAGTTGTGATCACAGGTTAGAAAACCTGTTCCAAACACTCCATGCAGAAATGTCCTAGGCAGTGACTACCCCAGGCATGAAATTCAAATCAGTGGCATAGGAATGAAGAAGATGGGTATTAGTCCGTATTTCAGAACCATGGACAGCTCCAAAACTTAGAAAACTGACAAACAGATGAAAACTGGGCTTGATTTTCTTTTAAAGCTTTTGCCATGTGTTCTGTCCAACCCAGTCAAGTCATTGATAGGGATGATGGGTCTACTGGCCTTTATCTTTCACATTGGGTTCCTTCCATTTCCCTGAAAGGGTTAAGGTTAGGCTTGTTTAAATAGAAAATAGGATTATTGGTCGCAATCACACAACCTTCAGCTTTATGATCACTAAGTGAATAACCTGAGCTATCATACAAAACAACTTCTACTACAATAACTGTTAAATCTTTTAGTCATGATCTCTGAACTGCCAGCCTCATAAAATGGAAATTTCCTCTGAAGTTTATATTGAACCAAATTTTTAATTGATGGGAGATTAAGCAAAACTAATAAATGGCCAGAAACTTCTAGAAAATATATACTTGACCCATTGTAAATCTGAGCATATAAACCATGAAGAAAAAGATTTGTTATGTAACAGGTCATATATATCAAAATTTGGCCAACATTTCTATTGCAACTCAGTGTTTTTTTTTTATTATACTTTTTTCTCACAGATCTAACCTTAAGGTTAGGTGTGGAAATGTTTTGTTGTTTGTAATTTACTTAAAAACTAATATTTGAGTGGGAAACAAATTACCTTAAGTATTAAAGCAGAAGAAGTATTAACTTAGCATTTTCTTTGCTTTAGTATTTATTTGGTTGCTTATCTTCATATTAATTCATAATTGAAGTCAATAAGCTATTTGATACTCCTAACATAAGAGGAAAATTCAACTGTAACAGAGATTTATATTTCTCTTTATATGTGTTTTAAGAGATTTGGTTAAACCACTGAATGCATCTTTGTGGAAGTAGCTTTGCTACCTCAAGTGGACAGATTTCCATCTATTATCTTACGCACTTGTCCCAATTGGGGTTGCGAGGGGTGCTGGTGCCTATCTCCAGCTGTCAATGGGCGAGAGGCGGGGTACACCGTGGACAGGTTGCCAGTCCATCGCAGGGCAACACAGAGACAAACAAGACATACAACCATTAACACAAACTCACACACAAGGAGAATCTAGGGAAGCCAATTAACCTAACAGTCATGTTTTTGGACTGTGGGAGGTAGCCGGAGTACCACGCATACTGACCACGCATACCCACGCATACTCAGGGATAACATACAAACTCCATGCAGGAAGACCACGGGCCGGGAATTTAACCCAGAACCTTCTTGCTGCAAGGCAGCAGTGCTACCCACTGCGTCACTGAGCAGCCCAGATTTATGGATGCAGAAAGTAACTGAGTTGGTAGCCAAAAAAGATAAACAAAAGTAAGGTTCATCAAACTCATTTCAAACAAATGAAGGGCATTATTAGAAAAAAATCATTACAAACAAAGTGCCTTGAGATGACGTGTTGTGAATTGGCGCTATATAAATAAACTGAATTGAATTGAACTGTTTTAAAAATGTTTTTATGAAGTTTGAGAATAAGTTAAAAACTACTTTGCAACTACTTTGACATCAATCAGGTCAAATTACCTGTATTCAGATGACAGACCACTAACACCTCTTAATGGTGCAGAGCATCCAATGACCTTTGATAGTCTTTTAGGTCATGCAAATGTAGCTTTTCTTCCATTTGTGGCTTTGGTGTCCTCTCTGTTTGAGTCATTTGTCCACACTGCTAATGAGAAACCTCACCAATATATATCAGTTTAAGAGCAGGTGTACTCAATCATAAAGATGCAACTTTAATAAATTTGTGTTTGCATTTTGTATTAATTACAAAGTTTTCAGCTATTGGCTCTTTCACTGGAAAAAATCCAAATCTAGATAAGTCATTTTTCTTAAAATAAGTGCATTTGTTCTTGGATTGAAGAGGTAAAATAGACATCTTGCCAATGGAACAAGACAGTTTACACTAATAATACGAAAACACAATTGCATGGTCTTATTTCAAGTGCATATTATCTAATAATCTTATTTTAAGAGTAAAAACACTTATTCCATTGGCAAACTATCTCATTTACCTACTCAAATTAAGGGTAAATACACTTAATTTAAGAAATTTTTAGTTATTTCTAGATTTCAACATTTTTCTAGTGTTACTCCTTTATAAGAATAGTGGAAGTCATTTGGCTGATAATATTTATATTCAAAAGATTCTAGAATAGGAACAAGTTTATTACCCCTCAGTGAGGAACTTCAGGTGAGCCATCAAGAAGCGAAAGGCAAAAGTAAGCATGCAGATTCATGCATTGGCCGAAAACCCCCCCAGAAAAAATGTATATAGGATGTCAAATTTAAAAACAGGAGAAATAGATCACAGAAGTAATTTAATCACAGTTGGAAGCAGTGATGGTTATATAAAAGCAAAAAAAAAAAAAAAAAAAAAAAAAACAACAACTATTTAAACTACCTAAAAGTTTTCTTTTTAAATGTGGTTTGGAATTTCCTTTTCTCACTTCTGTTCTCACTATGTGTGGGAACAATTTTAGCAGCTTTTGTTTGTGGCTACCCATGCTTGTTTCAGGTTTACTATCTCAGAACATTGGTCAGTTTTTTTTTTTTTTTTTGATTCAGTAAAAATATTTTAGCTCCAGTCGTTCTGCATCCAGAAACTCCTCCTCTAAAGGTAATATAAGCAGAGAAGAGGCCCACTTTGGGACATTTCTGATTGCTGTCGTCGCTTAAAAACCTTGCAGGCTGAACACCCTCTTCTTCTTTTGGCTCCTGATCATTTGGGGAAGGTGCTTCACTCAAGTTGATTCAGGTAAGGTAGTTTTTATGTATTAATCAGCGGGTGCTAAAATTAAATGAAAAAAAAATAAAGACGATTTGATATCATGGCACATTTGAGTTGTGTCCTCACACAAAGAGTCTTGGACAGTAGTGCTAAGAGCAAATTCAGACTGTATCATAACATTTTATGGGTTTCTATTACTGTCATTCAGGAATCATATATATATTGTAATTGTTTATACTTCTAGACATTAGATGCTCTAAAAGAAAAATGACACTTCTTCTTTATTCCTGATATGCTTTCTGAAACCTACTCTAGATACTCCAGCTCCAGGTGCAGATTTTCATCTTCTGAACATCCTATACTGGTGTTATCGCACAGCAGCACAACCAGTTTACTGTTTTTGTTGGAGAAAAGAAAAAAGGTAGGTGTACCGATCTTCAAATGTTTGCATTTGACTCATTTACTGCTGATGTCTTATAATTCAAATCAACATTTAGAAAGAGCAAGCAAGAGCTTATTTAGATATACTTAAACTAAGGTAAAATGTGGTTTAAAAGTTAAGCAGTGCTGCTTTAAATTATCAGTTTTACTTTCTGTAGCTTTTTTTTTTACATCATTAAATCACCACCAATCAGCTGCAGGATATGAACAAAGAAAGAAACATTGACTATGTTATTTAAAAAAAAATGGTCTGTTGATGAAACCATTAATCAGTATATAGGAAAAACAATCAGTCCTATCTTTGTTAATTCAGTGCCTTTTTAAAATATTCAACCTAGAGGATTTTTAGTTAAAGAAATTCTAACAAAAATCGGTTTTTATATTCAGATATAGCTGCGGATGTTCCTGCCTGACATGTTTTGAGGGTAAACTTTGTCCCAGGTATCACTAGGGTTCGGTTCAGGGGGCCATGTTAAAATCAGTTGCTGGTCTATGAGGAAGTTTCAGACTGTTGGTAACAAACTTACAGGAAACCAAAAAATATGGGCTTAAGAACATTCCACAATGCACAAAATATAAGTGGGAAGAATAGCATACAAACAAGCAAAGTTTGCAATAGAAGAAAAAAGAGGTGGAATAAAAAGACAAACCGATTAGTAACACTCTGACCAGATATCAATATCCACAATGAAACACAGAAAGGGACAACAGGTGAAAGAGAGAGGACATAAATGTCAAAAAAGAAACAGGTGGAGATAGAAGACAGAAGAATTCAACATAATCGTGACCTGGGACAAGAGGGCCTCTTAGGTCTGGAGCAACACCATTAAGCTAACTGCTTGCAACTCATTTTGAAAAAGTGACTCACTACTTTGTGACACCTCAGACATAGATCATGGAGAAAACTTTTGAAGCAACAGTCTTCCCGTAGTGGTATAAGCTCCACTGGGGATAATTTGCAAATTTTGTCAACTTGAAGTTGTTTTTGCCTCTTGTTAGATTTTGCCATTTTTATTAGTTTTGTGGTTTATATTAGTTTAATTTTTGTTTTATACTCTTTTTTCCTTTACATGATTCGTTTGAAACAGCTTGACACCTCGGCCAGAGTGATATGCGTTATTTGTTTCCTTTTACACTTATTTTTGATCATCTGACCAGAGCACCTTCTACTAAATCCTTTTCTAAAAGTCATTTCATAAACTAACAAAAAACTCTTTTGTCTTTCCCTTCACCATATTAGAATGAAGATCCTTCCGTTTTGCCTGCTTGTCTTTTTGCTGCCTTTGCAGGCCACTGCCTCTCAGTCCATGAATGAAACCAGCACACCTGAATCGGGAAATGACAGAGAAACACCCTATGAGAAGTTCCAAAGGCAGCATATAGATAACAATATGACAGCAGATGAATGTACAGCTGTAATGAATCAGAAGAGGATTTACAGCTATGACAGCAGCTGTAAGAAGACAAACACGTTTATTCTTGCTGCTGCAAGAGACGTGAAATCCATTTGTCAAGGCCAAGGGAGTAAGAGAGATGTAATGATATCTAGTAAAAATAGATTTAGCGTTGTTGTTTGTCGTTTAACGGGCCGAAATACGAAACCTATGTGTGATTTTAAGGGCACCCTTCATACTGATAGAATTATAGATGTGGTCTGCCGCGATCACTTACCTGTACACTTTGAACGCTTCCGCCCGAAACCTGATCAGTTTTAATCCTAACTGCAGTCGATGATTCTTTCCTTTTAACACCTTTAAAAAAGCTGAACATAGGAATTGAATCTTTTAAAGCTACTGTCTTTTAATATACTTATGCTTCAGAGACAACTCCTTTCCATGACATCAAGTGCATCTTAAGAAAAAAGGAAACATTTCATATTTCTTTTTTTTTATTTTATTTGCTATGAAGAACATAATTGTATGAATCAAATATGTCTCTGCCACTGTATACAATTGCCATTATTAACATACTGCATAATAAAGATCTGTGTTGCATTTATTTGATCGTGACTCAAAGAGTGTAACGATTATGACAACAAAATGCTTTCTTCAAACTGTGTCATTAATTGAGGACAGATGGACCCAGTATTCAAGGAGAGACAGTCAGTAGGAAAGTTCAAACGTTTATTCAATAAAAACAAAAGCGGAGCTGTGGCTCCCGGACACTGCAGGTGGGGGGGTGGGGCACCGCCCAATCTCAGACCCTCTGGGGGAGAAACACAGGTAAGTGACCACGATAAACTGATAGAAGATTAACTGTGTTGGTCACTTACCTCGTTTAACAGTCCAGACCACGAGTGTCCCCAGTGCTGCAGTCCCAGAGGTGATGCTGGAAGCTGATCCTGGTGAGGGATCCAGAACAGACAGGAACAGACAGAAACAGGCAGGGTCCAGATCAGGCAGGAACAGGGACAGGTGGCAGGATCCAGACTTCCAGGCATCCACAGGCTTCCAGGAGGGTTCAGAATCTGACTTGGACCAGAAGCATGACCAGGTGGTCACGCACAGGAGCAGACAGGATCAGGTGCAGATGAGCAGGCACAGTGGAAGAGGGTAGCCGAGACAGGACGTAGGAACCGGAACTTGAAGCTGGACTTTAAACTGGTCTCCTCCCTGGAGCCAGGCTTACTTTGATAAAAACTTAACCTCCCCCCATAATGAGCCAGTGGGGGAGGAACAGTGGACGATCAGGAGACGAGACAAACACTAAAACCCTCTTTCCACTGGCTGCTAGGATCCAGGACATGAACCAAATAAAAACTGAACAGAAAGACTGACAGAAAGACAAGCAATGATCTGGCCCTGAATGCTCAGGCTGAACTGAATATAAACCAGAGGAAACAGGTGAGAGGAATAATTTATAATTGAGGCAGGGAAGGAAGAGGGCAGGTGAGAGGAATTACTAATTAGGGGGGAGCAAACAGGCCAGATCATGACATTGTTAGCATCTTTTATGGGGGGCTGGATAGCGCCGCTTCCACTCATTCCATCATTTTACTGTGGGATTTAAATGTTCCTGTTTGGAAATTACTGGGATGTGATGGGGTGGAAGGGACCTACAGCTCTGTACTCAAGTTGTGTTTCTTTATTTGACCTCTATGCAAGTGATTTAGACATGCTGGACGAAGCTGGACGGAAGCTGGACAGACTCAGCAGGCCCAAAAGTGAGAAGTTAGGCTCTGTAGGGACTATCTGGTGGAGCCCTTGGTCCAGGAAGTATCCAACTCCCATCTCTCGGAAAGCTTCTCTCAGATTCCGGGGGAGGCTGAAGACATTTAGCCTCACTGAGCCTTATTCTCTGACAACCGCTGTGGCCATAAGGTCTGCAGAGCCTCTCGTTGTGACAACCCCCAAAAACAGTAGCAGACAATATCAAGCTGAAGAAGGAGTCTCAGGCAGTGAGCAGGTACCATTAAGGCTGAGCATGTTTCTTCCTGGGAGATTATAAAGGCAAATACCAAGAGTCTGAGAGGAGTTTGGAGAAGCCATGGAGAAAGACTATCATTTGGCCTCAAAATGATTCTGGTGAACCATCCAGCACCTCCAGAGGTGCTGTGCTATGACTGTTTTCAGTATGACAAGGAGCTGCTAACCTTAACTGAGGACATTGTTGAAGTTTGTAAGGAATACTTTGAGATCAGGTGCTCGGAGTCTGACTTGTTCCTCACCCAGACTGAAGCCACTGAGGCGCTCAAAAACTCTACGGTGCCAAGGCTTCAGGGGTGAATGAGTTCCCCTCTGACTAACTTAGGTCTTTGGATGTTGTGTTTAATGTTCCCTTTAAACATTATGATCTGATATTTGTGTAGAGTTAAGTAAGTAGTTTTAAGTAAGTACTTTGTTATTTTTCCTGCACGTTTGCTTACCATTTCTGGTTTGATTATTGGTGGATGTACATACATTTCCAGTAGAGTTGTGATCACAGGTTATAAAACCTTTTCCAAACCCTCCATGCAGAAATGTCCTAGGCAGTGACTACCCCAGGCATGAAATCCAAAGCAGTGGCATAGGAAGGAAAAAGATGGGCACTGGTCCGCATTTCAGGACCATGGACAGCTCCAAAACTTAGAAAACTGACAAACGAATGAAAACTGGACTTGATTTTTCTTTTAAAGCTTTTGCTGTGTGTTCTCTCCAACCCAGTCAAGTCACTGATAGGGATGATGGTTCTACTGGCCTTTCTTTTTCACATTGGCTTCCTTCCATTTTCCTGAAAGGGTTAAGGTTAGGCTTGTTTAAATAGAAAAATTTATTATTGGTCGCAATCCCACAACCTTCAGCTTTATGACCACTAAGTGGATAGCTTGAGCTATCATTAACAACAAATTCTACTACAACAACTGATAAATATTTTAGTCATGATCTCTGAACTGCCTTTGAAGTAATTTCATCTGAAGTTTATATTGAACCAAATTTTTAATTGACGGAAGATTAAGCAAAACTTAAGCAAAACTAATAAATGACCAGAAAGTTTTAAAAATATATACTTGACCCATTGAAAATCTGAGCATATAAACCATGAAGCAAAAGATTTGTTAAGTAACAGGTCATATATATCAAATTTTGGCCAACATTTTTATTGTAACTCTGTGTTTTTTTTTAATACCTTTTCTCACAGATCTAACCGTAAGGTTAGGTTTGGAAATGTTTTGTTGTTTGTAATTTACTTAACAACAAATACTTCAGTGGGAAATAAATAACCATTAAGTATTAAAGCAGAAGAGGTTTTAACTTAGCATTTTCCTTGCTGTAGTATTTTTTCGTAGCTTATCTTCCTATTAATTCATAATTGAAGACAATAAACTTTTTGATACTCCTAACATAAGAGGAACATTTAAGTGTAACAGAGATTTATATTTTTCTTTATAAGTGTTTTAATAGAGTTGGTTAAACCACTGAATGTATCTTTGTGGAAGTAGCTTTGCTACCTCTAGTGGACAGATTTATTGTTGCAAAAAGTAACTGAGTTGGGATCCAACAA